GACTGACAGAAGGCTTATGACCATATAGAATTTCGTACGGAGTCTTCATCTGAGCTTTATTGATTAAAACGCAATTTTGAACGTAGTTAGAAGTGTTAATCGCCTTAGAAGAAAACAGGTAACTTGGAGTCATATAGCATCATCCTCGCAGCGTCTTTCAATGTTCTATTTCTTCTCTCAGCAACACCATTTTGTTGAGGTGTGTGAGTAGAGCTGTATTGACGCATAATTCCCTTTTCTATGCAAAAATGATCAAGAACATCATTCTTGAATTCTGTTCCATTATTAGTGTGAAGCGCCTTCATCCGGTTGTTGGTTTGTTCCCAATCAACACTATGAATTTCTTTATCAGATCAGCAACCCCAACTTTGTTGGATAAGAAGAAAACCCACATAAAACGAGAGAAGTCATCAATCACAACCAGACAATACGAATTTTTGTTGATGTTGAGGACCTTGATTGGACCAAATAAATCCATATGTAATCAATAGAGCACCTGACTGATTGAGTTAACATGTTTTGGCAGGTGTGGTTTTCTATGATGTTTTCCCTGGGCGCATGACACACACTTCTCAAAAGTTATAAAATCTCTCACAGGTAAACCATGGATCATCTCATTCTTCGCAAGAAAATTTAGGTTCTTGGCGTTAGCATGACCAAGTCTTCGGTGCCAGAACATTGCGTTCTGTTGTGAGACCTTCGAAAAGAGGCAAGTGACTTGCTCATGAATGTTGCTGTTCATATCAATAATGTAAGCATTTCCATCCCGATTTGATGTGACAAGAATCCACTCTTCTGGGATGACAATGCCTGGCTTGAGAATCATACACTCTTTGTCGGTGAAATGAGTAGAATATCCTTTGTCACAAATTTGTGAAACACTCAACAAGCTGTGTTTTAACTCGAGAGCAAAGTTAACATTTTCAAATCTTAGCACTCCATTTGTAACGGTTCCTCTCTGAGTGATCTTGCCACCTTCTCCGCCCGCAAAGGAAACATATCCCCCATTAAAGGATTGGATGTTGCTTAGTTGGGAGATGTCTCCTATCATATGACGAGAGCAGCCGCTGTCGACGTACCAAGGTCTGACGACATTCCTCCGCAACTGTCCTTGCAAAATGAGCCGGATCATTTAGATTTGGGAACCCAGGTCATCACTTTCCTGGGTTGACCCTTCACTTTCTCTGATTGATCCTTTAAAATTTTCAATTTTGAATAATCATTTTTAGTTTTTTCAGAGGATGGAAATGATTGATTGGAAGTTAATTTGGTCATCCATTAATATTTGGGTTTCATAACAGTCACAGGTGGTTTTGAAATAGGTTTCTTATCAGTTTGTATTGAGCATCTAGATGTTCTACCAGAATTGGTTGAAGATCCGGAACTGCTCTTTGACGAAACCGATCTTGGCGGAGCCTTGTTCGGTTTTAGAAAATAGTTTGTAACGTTTTCATGAAACACCTTTTTGTTCTTTTGATAAACTGCCCTTTTTCTACTTCGATTATCCTTCCAATCATCACCCTGAGAACGAGTTCTGGAGGACTTTCTAGTTAAAGAGCTTCCTCTAGATTTGTTCTCTCCTCTTGGTGACATATAATGTACAAAAATCCTATTTGGACAATTCTTAGCTATATGTCCACGAATACGACAGTTAAAACAAATATATTTATTATTAAAACGCGTACTGCTTTTCTCAGATTTATTTTCCTTCCTGACATCCTTATTTTTCCCACAAGAACATGTATAAGAAGCAGGTTGTGAGATAAGTGAGGGTGCATCGGATGGTGTAACTTGTGGAATTCGTGTGTTTTCATCAGAAGCACTACAAACATCAGAATTATCAAACAATTCGTCAAACACTTCAAAAAAGTTTAATTCAGTATCAGCAGAAGCATAAGTATCATGAAAAACATTGTCATTTTCAACATTAGAAATAATAAATTCTTTATTTAAAACTAAAACTTCAGGTTCAGACTCAGTTTTGTTATCAGAAACAGATCCGTCAACTTCATGCTTTGACTGATCAAAGGATTGATCTGCAGGCGAAGCAGAATCGTTAAAACTTTCAACATCAATAACTCGCCCAGAAACAAAACCTGTTGGCTTGCCATAAACCATGAAAGATTCGTTGGCAATCTCCTCATCAGAGACAGGGTGATACTGATAATTGTGATCGAAAGGAGGAGGCACTTTATCGTATCCTAAAGCCTTTTTCTGGTTTTGTTTGAATTACAGGCAATGGTCAATCATGTTGGCAACTACCTCGCTTGATATATCATACTTTTTAAAATGAAAATTTGTAGTTTCAAATTTGTCTTTTAATGTATCAAGCTCAGTAATTAACTCAGCATTCTGTTTCTTGATATAGTCATAGTTTTCTCATTTGTTACTGTAGTCTTCCTTAAATCTCCTAAATCCTTTATTTTTGTTTCTAACTAGGCCTTTAGGGGTTTTTGTCATTTTCTAAGTTGATAGCCCTCATATCTAAGGTCCTCTACTTCTCTACGTAATGATTCTATTTCCTCACAAAGAAGTTTAACATAATCATCACATGCCTGAGAACAAGAAGGTAAACTTACCTCACTTTTCTTGGGTTCAGAAGTAGAAGATACCATTAGTGCAAACTGCAGCTCCATCATCTTTTCTTCTGGATCAGCTGCAACATTCTTCATGGGAGCTTCATCATTGACTTGGGCCAGCGAGCATTCTCAGGTTTTGAAATGTTCAATGCTTGAGTCTGGTCCTCCCATTCAAATGACTGAGCAACCATAGCCTTCTCACCGTTGACATGAGCACCTCCCCAATTGTTTCCCACTGCAACCATTATCCTATCATTGTTCAATCTTCTATCCAGCTTCGGGTACTCAAGAGAAAAATGTTCTGGCTCGTGAGAGTTGAAACAAGGCAGCTTCCCTTTGTTGAACCCCACCTTTTTGTTAGCATTCATAGCCCACTTGTTCTTCCCAGTATTCTTGGCAAACTACTTAGCTCTGAATACTGCCATAGCTATCTGCCATGTGATGTTCATCTCTTCCACATCTTCTGGATGAATCTAATCCAAATCAGCAAATGAGAACTGAGGTGGAAGATCTCCAGCAACAAGATCAGTATAGTAGTTTACTAGTCCTACGACAAAGGCAAGATTGTCATCACATTCCTTTGTGTTTGAGTAAGAGGCCACAACTGGTACATTGGAGGAAGGAGCAGCTTGAGAATTGACATGCAGCTGGCTTTGCGATTGAGACATTGATGATGTAGTAGCAATGATTGGGATCTGAGATTGTTGAACAACAAATGCTTGACCTGAAGAAGGAATGATTGATGAAAGAGCGTTTTTGGAGGAAATTCTGAGATTTGCAGTCGAGTACGAATTCACATGGTTAATCTTTCATTGTTTATCATCAATATAACAAGATTTGATGATCGCCATTGTTTCAGCACGAGTCATGCGATTTAGATCCTTGATTTTCTTAATAACAGCTACATTCATCTCCCATGACTTTGGAAGAGCATGCAACAACTTTTTTTTATCTCAGATTTAGTTAAGAAGATCCCATCTATATTCATTTCGGTAGTGAGAGTTGTGAATCGCTGCAGTGTTTCTCCAGGAATGTAGTTGAACATGTTAAACTTTTGACGTAGCATATCCTGGCGGCTTTCCTTCATGTCTTCATTACCTTCATATACCTCAATCAAGGCTTCCCACAAAGCTTAGTTGAAGTATATTCTTTGAAACCTTCAGCTATATCAGGAGATAGAGCCATGGTCAAAGTGGCCAATACCCTTTCCTATTCCTCAACGTTCTCAAAGTCTTCATCAGTATAGTTCTCAACTGCTTTGTTAGTTACTTGTCCCGCAACAATGGTGGTAATTCAGAAAGGACCCTTGATGATGCTTCTCCATACCTTGAAGTCTTTTATTTTAATATACTTCTCAATCCTGTATTTCCACTCAGGAAAATCATCTGCAGACAGAAGTCTTGGAATGTGTGTAGTTGTGCCCATGACAGAATCCAACTCATGATGATGTGTTTGGCTTTACGAATCCATTAATTATTAAGTTTTAAGGCAAAGATTTAAAACAAAATTGTCAAAAATTCAATTTTTGGTCAAAACTTGAGTTCACGGTCAAGATTGGGTTTGTATTCGTATACTCAGTTTACGGTCGAGAGATTACGGTCAGAGTGTTTACAATTTTTGAAGCTAAGTTTACGGTTATTAAAGATACACAAATTATGGTTTTTGAATGTTCTTGAGTTTACGGCCGTAAGCTTATTGCAGTAAACTCCCAGAAGTTCATGAAAACACAATTTTGAAGAGGATTCGATCCCTTTTAACAGCTAAAGTGCCAAACCCAATCTTGAACAGTGAAGAAAACGGCCAAAAACTCGATTGTAAGATGCTTTGACACCGGTTTTGCTCTGATACCAATTTTAAGGTCCTGAAATGGATCGTTACCAATGATCAAGCAATAAAACAATCAAATAGAATAAGAATCGGAGTAGAAAACATAATTGAAACAAGCTTGCACACGCTTTTATTGCTTAAAACGTCTGGTACAACTTGTTCTCTATAGCTGTGAACTCTCTGGTATTAACAACCAATAATGACCTAGACAACCTCTATTTATAGGGGACAATGACCGTAAATAAGACATGGATCGGAAACAGTGTTTACGACCATAAACTAGTTTACGTCCGTAAACTCACCATAATACCGTGAACCCTAATTTGACCTACTATTACACCGAAAATACTCAAAATAACTATTACAAATGAAAACCGAGGCTAAACCATTAATTGAGCCCTTCACATTTCGTGTGATAAATGGCCTATGAGAGCAATTCGAATTTGCATCATTTGATCCACCATGTGTACCCGGATTATGGGGCGTCTGAAGCATTGGTGACTGAGGCTCATGCACAGACTCATGGCCATGCTCAGGCTCATGTTCATGCTCAGGCCCATTATAGAAAAAATCACTAGCAGGCTCTTCATTGTTTCATATCATCTCATAACCATATGCAATACCCTTCCCAACATTTTGTACCACCCCTATATCTATTATAGCATTAGTCAATCCCATTTGCGTATTTATGGCACCCATGCTACTACTCCCTGAGAATCCCGACCTTGTCGTCCTAACTGAAGTGCGTGAAAGGCCACCTGGAAAAGGGATGCTTGGAATGTCATTAGGGTCGGACGATGACCTGGATGTCGGTGATGAACCAACCAAAAAAGGGTTTTGTTGAAGGCCACTAATGTCAGGAGATGACAGCCCCCCCGATACAGAACCTCCTGTAAAAGTGTTATGTGGAAGGCAAGTAGGATCGGGCAAAGGCGTTGGCCTGGCTCCCGATAGAAAACCACTGCGTGGACGGCCACTAGGGCCAGACAAAGTTGATGACCTGGCTTCTGCTACAAAACCACCTATAAGAGAGATGTGTGGAAGGCCACTAGGGTTAGACAACGTGGATGGCCTACCACCCGATGGAGGACCAACCAGAAAGAGGTTACATGCTAGGCCTTTATCAGACATGCTTTGTTTATAGAACAAAAATAGTCAAATATATTAGATGATAGTGAAAAATAACAAATAGACTAGCATATACATACCATATTATAAATATAAAATAAAATGTGATAACAAAAATATTAAAGTGTGTATACCATATAAGATAAAACAAAGTTCCTAGCATTCGTCCTTATTTGGATCAAAGTAGTCAAAATAAACCGGTTCATCTCTATCGTCTTCATCTGTATCATCTTCTTGGTTTCCCGCTTCAGAACCCTCACACCCACCAGAAGATATTTTCTCAAAGTTAGTTATATTTGAGGCTAAGCTCAAACGTTCAGTAACATTTACTTCATTCGATAACTCAAACCGCTCATGAAGATGGAATAATCCATTTGGTTCTATATTTCCATCAAGTGCAACTTTCGTTTCAGCTTCGGTGACTTCAAATACCCCTCTTGGTTTTGTCTTGACAACCTCCCAAAGATCTTTTGTTTCCTTTGTCACCATAGGATATGGTGTATAAAGTACTTGTTCTGCTTGTGATGCCAAACAAAAAGGGTCGTTAGTTTGAATATGAGACTTAGGTTTAACATCAAGCAACTGATTTTTGTTAACTACTACACTGCATATATTATCAAACCAAGTGCATTTGAATAGTACAACAGTCGAGCACCCAATTCCATAATAGTAAATATCTAGGATCTTATCCAATAAGTCGTAGTAGTCTGACTCTTCGCCATTATACGTCTCCCCCCTCATGTATAGTCCATAGTTATTCGTTGCACGCCGTTTACCATATTCTTGTATGTGGAATTTATAACCACCTACAAACTAGTCGTGATAAGACCGAGAATCCTTTGAGGGGCCATTTTCTAAAGGTTCTAAATGTTTAGCACTTCCATAGGTTGAGTCCCTCGTTACCTAGATTAAAGAGCATATATGCAAAATGTTTGTTGAAAAAAAAAACAAAAATTAACAAGTATGATTGAATTTGTTTTACTTTGTTACTATTTAAACCATTTTGTAAAGTAATTATCTCTATGTATTAAATTGTTTCATTTTGATATGATGCTTAGGCTGCTCGATTAAACTTTAGGATGAAAGGTGCAACTTTTTCAAACTTTAGTAGGATGTAAGTGTGTGCTTTGTGAAGTTCTTCATGTTTCAAGAGTCTTTTCTTTCCACCCTTTTCATGTAATCTTCTTGATGGAAAGGAAAATACGCTTAATAGATCTCCACTTGAAGAATTTCCATGTTCTGGTGCGAAATTTCGTGGCTCTTGATTATGGCGTGTCTCAACCGTGGGGGCAAAATATAAAGAACAACAAGTAGCGATTTCATTCACTAGATGTTCATTAATGTTTGAACCTTCAACCCTTTCTTTGTTCCTAATTATTCTTTTTATTATGCCCAACCTCCTATACTTAGAAATTATCAAAAACGTGTTATGAATACTAAATGTATGATTAGGTGTTCCATGGAATCAAAGAAACTTGGAGGGAATATTTTCTCCAACTTGCAGATGGTTTGAGCAATAATGTGTTTCATGTTGTATTGATGAGATTATTGCGCTATTAGATCGATAGATTCTAAACAGATAAACAAGAATAAAGCAATCAAAGAACACAAGAATGGATCAAAAGATGTCGAATGATTAATATCTCACACCTCAGAAGAGCTTGATGAAGAACTTCGACTGTAGAGGTATACTTAGGGTTACAATGCAAAAGCTATTAATGAGAATGTTAACCTTAAAGTTATACCTACATGCATAATATATAAGCAAACCCTAATGCTCCAACCATGGTTGGAGAGGCCCAAACTGGGTAATTAAAATACTAACATTAAGCCCATATGATGGAACAATCTAGACCCAAAAATCCCCCCTTTGCGTCAATAGAGGCGAGAGATTAGTTCAGTTGATAAAGAGCAGACTTCTTCACTGTCTTGAACACCTTCGGTATAATGGAAAAAAGAGTATGACGAAAAGTTATATACCACTGAAGCATGTCAGAGAAGTTTTTCTTATCTGAATCACTATTCTGTTTACACCTTTGAGTCATATCAAGTACGTGCTCCAAGCAGGAAGTGGAGAACAAATGTTTGTCAACTACAGAGAAAAGGATTTTTTCACCTTCGCCTCTTGTAAACATAACAATATGATATGTTAGATCGATCTTTCCCATCTTCATTTTATTAAGATCACTCGGCTTCCCGATGGGCTTCACATTCGGTTTCTTCCTCAAAACATTTGCAACCTCCTGATCCATCTTAGCAACTTCATGGATGTAGGAATCCAACATTCTCTTAATGTGATCGAGGATTGGCTCATACTACTGTTGATTAGTAAGCAGAATGTTGAACAGCAGAATCCAATCGTATGGGTTTAGATTTGGAACATCAGCTGAAGAAATCATATGAACCGAGTTATTAGAACCTCGGGTAACCCTGAACTTCACATTGATAAATTTACCAGCAATAGTCGGTTTCAATACCTTGACAGAGGTTATTTTCTGAGCACTCCATGTCAAGTATTGAGGTTGAGCAAATTCAAGATAATAATCGATTAGATCTTGATGAAACTGTGGGTGAGGAGAAGGGACTTCAACCATTGGATCAAAACAATGGAACACAAATGGCCTATTAGTGATAGACATGTGAAAATGAGACTCCCTCATGTTTCACAATCAAACGAGGCAATAGGTTCCAGTCAGTGAGTGTTGGGAGACTCAATCGCTTCTTTGATTAATCTTTCCTGGGTCCAAGTGGGAAAGAGAGTATGCTTTCAAATCAGAGCATCTTGAGCTTCTTTCTGCTTTCGCTCTTTCTCTTCTTCATCTCTGGCTATTCTCAAATTTTCATCAATCTCTTTATCCCTTTTCTTCCTCTTTAAAGCCTCGACAATAATTTCTTCTTGATCTTCATCACTTCTTCCACAACACCCTTCAGTTTTTCCTGTCCACCAGAACATGAAGCTACGTTAACCTTCATTTTGGTTTGGATAATGACTGTGGGTGGAATTGGAGGATTTTGAGCAGCTTCTCCCATTGTTGCGGAGTGACCACGGGCTCCGTAGCACCCTAGATCTGACTCAATATCTGAATAGTAGGAAGAAGTTTAGCAGTCAAGTGATTCCAAATAGTAAGGGTGAGAATAGGATCATGAGCATTAACAAGATTACTGAGAATCAAGAGAACACCCCTAACACTACTTTTAAGAACTTCCCGCTCAGTCTTGAGTGATGCAATCTCCTTCTGGGCTTGAGCAATATGAGTAGACTGGACTTCAACTTATGTAGTCTTTCGAGCAAGTTCGTCCATAATCTTGTTTTCCAAGCCCAAGTCAGCCTGAAGCTTATCAAAGCAAGAGTTGACCGAAGTGAGAAGAGAAGTGTGATCAGCTTGGAATGCAGTTCTAATAGAATCAAACTTTGTTTTTTCTTCTTGAAGGGACTTGGAGAGAGAATCAATGGAAGCATTAACCTTTGCAACATTGGAGTCTACATGGCCTTTGAATGATTCCAAGAAATTCTTTGAATCATGAATAAGATCTGTCACTTCAGTTGTTGCTTTCTTGCAGGAAGATGTGGAAGCATTCACAGACTTTGTAGATCTGTCGATTGAATTTGTATATTGTTGAAGAGTTGTGTCAAGAAAAGATTTTAAAACCACATATGAATAAGTTGCCGGAGAAGCAAGAAATTTGTCAAGCTTATCTTTAAGACTCTTCCAATGGTGTTTTGTCACCAAAGAATCATCATCATCTTCACTTGGAATCCGATAAGGACTGTAATAAGTGGAGTAAAAATCAAAGTTTTCACCTGCCAGAGTAGGCTCAGAGTCTGCCGAAGGAGATGGTGAGAGAGGTTTGGTGGTAACAGGGGTTTTAATGCCAATGGTATGTGCCCCCGTATCAGATACGTTGACACTCACCGAAGGTCTAGTTGTTGTTGTTGTTGTTGTTGTAGCTTGAGAAAAGATTGGAGGTGGTAGTGGAGCAGTAGTAATAGGTTGAGAAGTGACAGGTGGTGGAATGGGAGCAACCGAGATTGGTTTTGTGGTTTGTTTTGAAGAAGGAGGAGGAGTAGGAACATCAATATTTACCTTAGGAGTTGGAGACCGAGGAGGAGTCTTTCCTCTTGGTTAGCCTTTGTGTTGCACCTCCTCTTCTTCCTCCACTAATTGCTCCTCTTCATTGGAAGTAATAGGCGTCGGTGCCTTCGGTCGCTTTGCCATCTTCTTGATCTTTTTCTTTTTGGGAGCGGAAGGTGCATCTTTATCAGCATTACGATTTTTATGAAATGAGGGACCTTTGGTCTCGGCTTTCTTAGACTCTGATTTCTTCCCCCTCTTGGTAGGTTTGTCAGCAACATCTAAAGCAGTCTACATCTTAGGAGTGAGTTGGTGTGGACCCGAAGGAGTCAATTTCTTATAATCGTCCATGACTTTACTTTCACTAGAGACACATCGGATCATCGATTCAAGAATAGAACCGATGTACATGAACTTTGTAGGGTCACAAAAAATTATATTGGTCGTGTGAAAAGTAGCAATAGAAGACAACAGAGCATCCACCATGACAGGAATCTGAAAAGTCTCAATGGCTCTGCAAGTGACTAATGTCCAAAAACAACCGTGTGAAATCTCAGAATGTTTGGATGAGGAGTTGAGACTCTGCACTAGTTGTGACCAGATTAATGAACCATAATCCAAATGGATTCCACTGTAGAGACGATAAAGAAAGGTCATGAAATCTTTACTCGCCTCATCCGACCCTATAACCCTTTCTGCTAACCCCTTGTAAATAAGTGTGAACATACCATTCCATTGATGTGGTAAACATGACTTCTTGAATTTCGTCACCATAGTAAGAACGTCTGTGTATCCCAGGTCATGGAACATCGAAAATAACTGAGTTGTTGTGATGAAATCCAGAGAGATGACAGAAGCATCTGTAGCAAGCCCTAGTAGTGAATAGAAGCATGCTTTAGATACAGATGTCTTGTGATTAAAGATGTCGAA